AACTTGCATTTATACAGCACCCCTCACACAGGGGGTTGTCCCCAAAAGGGCTTGACGTTGGCGGAGCACGAAGCCAAACCATAACATAATTATTAATGAACAGGATCCCTTCAAAGTAAAAATTCCAACCTCCCCGGCAATTGCTTTGTTTCGGAAGTGTTTTTTTTTTTGTCCTGATTTTTGCTTCTTCACGGGTTTTTAATCTCTTTTCTCAGTGAAGGAATAAAAGAAAAGCTGCTCTGCTTGAGCAACCGAGGACAACCCTTCCCCGTGGGGAGCCCCCCCCCCCACTGTGCTCTTTGCGACAACCTGCCAATTAATCCACCTCGCGAGGTATTGAAGCTTCACAGCAGCGGCTGGTAATCGATGCCATTTTCAATGAAAGCAATCGATACGACAAAGTGTAACCAGAGGAAGGGACAGCCCTGTAGGAAAGGATTCCACCATCGAAATTTACTGCACGGGAAAAGCCGATTCGATCCACCGTGTGTCTTGTTGGCTCTTTGAGAAAGCAATCTGGCCAACAACAACAACACCACCACCTTGTTTTATGTAGTTCCCATCAGCGCCTGAGAATGCTTGACAGTGCCTGACGGGTGGTAGTGGGGGGTGGGGGGGGGAGGACCCTAAGCATTCAATCCCATTTACCTGCCTTTCTCGCCACACTCCTGTAAACTACACATGTTTTAGATGTTTATCTTGTTACCTCTTGAAAATTAATATGGATTCCGTCTTGACCGCTATCGCTGGCAGGTCACTCCACAATCGGAACAACTCTGTGTGTGTGTGTGTGTGTGTGTGTAAAAAAAAAGTCCTCCTAATCTTGCTGTTATTTTAAATCAATGCCCTGTACCATCCATTACCGACTCATCAACCAGTGGAAATTATTTCTCCCAATCGATCGGATAATAGTAATAATCCTTGCATTTGACGTAGCACCTTATCACGTTGTCGCGACGTTCTCAAAGCGCTTCGCAAGGATATACTCTGAAGCGAATTGACTGTGAGAACCGCGGCAGCCAATTGCGTCCCCACAAACAGCCGTGAATTGAACGCCCGGATTTTTTAAATAACAAAATCCCTCGCAAATTTTAAAGACCTCTCTCAGGTCTCCCTTCAACCTTCTCTATTCCAGTGAAGATCGAACCAGTTCCTCTAATCCCTGCTCAGAGGTAATCTCCTCTGCACCTTTCTTTATGGCCCTGACACCTCTCTTAAAGTGATGATGAGCAAAAATCCAACTGCAGATCAGCCTCTGCCTGGATTCCACATCGCCTCAATCTGATATTAAATTGCCAGTCTCACCCAAATAGATAGAACATCAATCATCTGCCTCTGGTTTACGATGAACAAATGTTGTAGGCAGCATTTGCTCACTCCAAAGCACTGAGGGAATAAAGTATGTCCAGGCTTTTCAGCCTTGCACCGATCGAGCTGTTGGCAAAGCAATCTGGGGATAAGATCAATCAAGGGGACACAACCGATTCTTTACACACAGACGTTTGGGGCCGTATCTCAGAATGTCAAATTGCTGAAATAAGCAGATCGCAACACAACCAACAACAGTAACTTGCGTTTATACAGCGTTTCTTCACATCGGATCACGTCTCAGAGCGATTCGCAAGGAAAGGGTAATGATCAACAAAGCCACAATATTCTAGTTTGCATTAGCTCACCTCATTCTCTGAAAGTTTACTCCTTTCTTCTTAAATCCCAGCACAGTCCAGCCAACAGACATCAAGTTCCAACTGTGTGATCCAGCCAGTGCTGCTAACCAGTTTACCCGAGGCACAGGTTAGAATAATCCTCGCATTTGATATTGCACCTTAAAATGTCAAAGCCTCTCAAAGTGCTTCACGGGTAATTACTGTCAAGCACAGCGACAGCTTTGCAAGCAAACGCAGCAGCTTATTTTATGCACAACAAGGTCCCACAAGCAACCACAAAGCGAAGGACCAATTACATCTGAAGGATTGCTGGCCCAGGGCACCAGGAGAAACTCCCTTCTCTTGGAATGATCCACGCACAATTTTCTTCCCTCCTCCACAAACAGCCCAACCAACCGCGACTCGCAAAGCTGACTGCGGGCGAAGCAAGATTATGAATATTGTCTCGACCCCTCGCCCTTGAATTAACATTCACCACTTGTTCTGCTGGAGGTGAATTCCGTGGAGTCCTGTAAGCTCAGTGGTTAGAGCGCTCACCTCGCAAGCGAGAGGACCTGGGTTCGATTCCTGGACAGGACGAAACGTTGGGCAAGTTCCCTTACTCCACACGGCTCTGTTTATCCAGCAGTAAGGAGGAACCTGGCTGTTAGTCGATTTCCGGATCGCTTTCCGGGGGTAAGGTTCGAGCACGGGAAATGAATAGTCATTAACAAGTCTCAGTTTGGATCAGTCGGTAGCACTCTCACATGTGGGTGAGAAGGTTGTGGTTAGCACGTAATGCACAGGCACCACAAGGCCCCGGACAGACAGACAGACAGACAGACAGACATTAAATCTTACAAGGGATTCAAAGCATCAACATGACAAAGCTATAAAAAGTCAAGAGCACGATATTTGCGAGTGTTAAGATTTCAGATTTTGCCAAACAGATATCTCGTCAAAGAATGACGTGCTTCGAGACTTGTACAATAACCATCTTCTGGTGGTGATTATTATCAATATAATGATATTATTTATTATTATTATAACCCTCTCCTGGTGTTTGGAGAAATATAACCTTCACAACAACGCGTTTTTTTTTGGGTGGGTGTCTGACCTAATTAAGGGTACCCAAACCAAGCAGAGAATTCCACGCCTCCCATCCGCACACAGTGTTGTAACGGGTTTGGTTACAGTAACAATGACAACTGCAATTTCTTCACATTTTCTCTACACTTGGACTCCAGCTGAGAAATCAGCCTAAACTCTTTTGGGAGAGAGAGACACAGAGAAAGGATGCACAGTGACGAGACCAGGCTGTCGCCCCTATTTAAGTGGTCTCACGTGTACATTGAGCAGCACCAGCGAGCTGCGCATTATGCGCTGTGAAGTCCTGTAGCTTTCGTGGTTAGTTCACTCGCCGCGCGAGCGAGAGGACCTGGGTTTGATGCCTGTCAGGGTGAAACGTCAGGCGAGTTTCCTTGCTCCACGTGCTTCGGTTTACCTCGCAGTAAAACAGAATCGCTTTCCCGGGGGGGATCGGGGGGGTATTATTAATTAGCGGTACCCAAACCAAGCAGAGAATTCCACGCCTCCCATCCACACACAGCGTTGTAACGGGTTTAGTGACAGTAACAATGACAACTGCAATTTCTTTACATTAATAATCCCTTCCAAAATAATAAAAAATAAATAAATAATAATTTATTTGGTCACTCAATCCACGACTGTTTGTGGGGACGCTGCTGTGCGTAATCGGCTGCTGCGTTTCACCCTCAAAACACACAGTCAATTCACTTTACAGCATATTATGTGAAGCGTCAATGCTAACTACAGGGACACCCAAAAAAGCGATCCACCAATCGACTAACAACCGGGTTCCTACTTACTGAGAGGTAAACAGAGGGGAGTAAGGAAACTTGCCTAAGGTTTCGCCCTGACCTGACCTGCCTGGGATTTAAGCTGCCGTTTACAACACTGTACAATACAAAATACAATAGAAAATTACATTTACACGGCGCCTTTCATGTCGGGAGGACGTCTCAAGGCACTGGACAGTCAGGGATTTGCACCTGAGCGGGGTGGGGGGGGGGGGGGGGGGGTGAGGATCAGGGAGGGTGACGGGCGGGGAGGGTGGGGGTAGGAGTGTGGGCCGAAGGCACAGTCAAAGAGGAAGGTCTTGAGATGTGCCTTGAAGGAGGCGAGGGGGGAGGTGGGGGGGGGGGGGAGTACAAGATTGAAGCTTCGCGTAAGAAAATGCATTCAATTCAGAAAAAAAGTTATCCTGGGGTCGATTCCATTTAACCTAAATAATGAGCGAGCCACAGAAATTTATACCTTTAATGAGGGTGGGTTGTTTTACAGAGTAGCATAGACGTTACTAATTTTTTTTTTACACACACGGGTGTCTTTAGGCAACATCCTGCACCATTTCAACACATCAAAGTCGTCACCACCTAATTCTCCATCTAAAATGAGGTCAGTTCTGTCACTACTATGTTGGGACAGGGCAAGTGGTTCAGATTTGGCCTAAATACCTCATCTGGGTCAGATGCTTTATGTCCTATTGCTGGACACCTGTGCAGCATTGAATACTGTTTTTTAAATGTTTGTTTTAATCCAAACCAAGGAGTGCGGGGAGTTGGGGAGGGGGGTGGGGGGTGGAATGGTCTTAATATTGGAGCAAAGCCAGTTAGAAGTGAAATCAGAAACTATTTCTTCAAAATAAATAATTAAAATTAATAAAATAGGAGAATTAATAAATAATGCACAAAAATAAAAATGGATAAATAATGCAGAAATGAGCAAAAAAAAATCTAAATGATTATTTGGAGGGTCGTGAGAACGTGGAACACACTGCCACAGAGAGTCAGGGATACAGAGTCGATTAAGAGGGATGGAGGCATGGACAGAGAGCGAGAGAGAAACAGACAGACAGAGAGAGAGACAGACAGACAGAGAGCGACAGACAGACAGACAGAGACAGACAGAGAGACATAGGAAATAAAGGGCATTACAGGATATGGAGAAAAGATGACTCAAATGGAATTAAAGATGGTTCAATAAAATGGTGGAACAAGGCTCCGCGAGCTGAAAGGCCTGTTTTCTGTGTTCCTAAATAGACTCGCTGCACAAAAAAAAGATGCAAATAGCGTCTGTACCAACCAGTAAAAGAAACATTGGCCACTTTGGGATGAAAGTAAATCCTAGTTGCAAATTGGCTTCCCCTGTCAAAACGGAATAAGGGCTTGTTCGAGTTCTTCTGGAGGAGAAGCCTCTCTCCAGGGCGTGGTTCCACAGGCAGATCACTGACATTGCCCGAGACGAAGGTGGGGGGGGGGGGTGGTGTGGTGGTGGTGGGGAGGGAGGGCATCGCAGCTGATCCTGATGCTGATCCCAACTGAAATCCCGCACAAACTCAAGTTCCAAGCAGGGCTCGCTGCGAATCGATCAGGAGAGGTGGCCGCGGCTGGTTTTCTTCCTCTCACACAGGACACGGATGTGCCATCCTGACAAGCTGAGCTCAGCCGACTCGAGACAGATCAGGCACAGGTCCCTTGACATTGTCCCTTAGGTGAAAGGCGCAGTTGTTGTTGTTGTTGCTGCTGCTGCTGCTGCTGCTGTGGACCTTTGGCTTGTACGTGTTAGTATTAGAGTAGATGCTGTTTTTTTTTCACCCACAAGGGCCACCAGGGAAGCCTTCCTTAGTTCAACTAACCTCAGAACTTCCTACCCTGCACTACAGGGCACTGTGCTTGGGGTCTGGCTATCGTTAGTCCCTTCTCGGCTAACTCCAGGCTCCTGAGACCACCATGAGGTCAACTGGAATGAACCCACGTAATCACATTCAACTCGACTCTTACATTAAAAGTCGCTTTCTTTTTCGGAATGAGAGAGAGGGACAGAGAGAGAGAGAGAGAGAGACACACACACACACACACACACAGAGAGAAAGACACAGAGAGCGAGAGACAACAAACCTTTCAGGGTTATCAATGGGCAGAATCTGCTTTTCCGTACGAAACAGGTCAGGGCTGATAACTTACAGATGGGCTCTCGGTTTCGCTCTGGACTTTGCCTTTTTGTTTACCGTTCGAAACAAGAAAACACAAGTGTTTTCAACGCGGATTCAAAGGGGACAATGGGGAAACACTTGCGAAAAAAAGAACAACTTTTTTTTTTAAAAAAAGGTTTAAAACCAGGGCTCACTCGCGAGAGAGTTGGCGTCTTGGTTGCGGTCGCCTTTCAGCCTCTCAAACTTGTGTGTGTGTGTGTGTGTGTGTGTGTTTCGGACAGAAATTCAAAAAAATTGTTGATAAGCAGAACACTTTTGCCGGTAATACTAAGACAGTTATGGCACAGGAATCACAGTTATGGTGACAGTGCGATCAATGGATTTGCAGCCTCCGGAGTCGGTTTAAGAGTTTTGTTCGACAGCACGTCAGCCCGCACGCACGCACGCACTCACACACACGCACGCACGCACACACACACACACCCCACAACGTGCCAGGAACCTGCGGGAAGACTGAGCCCCAGTTTTGTCATCGTTGTCGTCGTCGTCGCACCGTTTATAAATCCTAGTTTTAAAAACACACAAGTAATCGCCACACTCGCTCCTGCAATATGAGTTTCCGGTGTTTCCCAAGCGACCGGCTAACACCCTTAGAGATGGCGAGGGCTCGGGTGTCCGTTATGATAGAGTTTCTGCTTGATGTGAACCATGTTGCCGCCTGCGTCTTCGTACTGTCGGTGGGAGCGTTTTCTGAAGTCCTTCAGATTACATAACCTGGGTATCCAGGACCAGGAGTTATCTGGAAAGAGAAGGGAATCAAGACAGCAGCTCAGCGGGGCACACACCCACACACACACCCACACACACACACACACACACCGACACACCCACCCACCCGGAGCAAGAGCAGAGCGTGCAGAGAGAAGAGATCGACCCAATCTTTCAATTATTATATTAATAATCATACTACTACTACTATAATAATCATCGCATTTGGTACAGTGCCTCATCGCGTCTTCCAGACGCCTCAAAGAGCTTCACGCAATACACCATCAAGTGAACCAACTGTGCATTTTGTGGGCGAAACGCGGCAGCCAATTGCGTACAGCAGCGTCCCCACAAACAGCCGTGGATTGAGTGACCACATTTCTTGTGAGGGATTATTACTCCTGTAAAGCGAGCCACCAATCGACTAACAACTGGGTTTCTAGTCAGAAAAGTATTAGGCGCAGGTTGGCAAAAGCTAAGACTTGGGGACCCCAGAGTGTGCGTTGGAGTAACTGCTGGAGATCAACCAGCTGAGGACTGCGTAGTTTGCCATTGAGAGCGCTGTCTGGTAAGCTTTCCTCTTGCTAATCCAGCCAGGACCATCCGGGCTTTGGTTTGCAGGGTTAACAGGACCTGGTTGGGATGATCGCTGCCCCCCCCCACCCCACCCAGTGACCGGTCGGCCCTTCCAGGTCCTGCTGCTCAGCCAGTTTCCTCTTAAATACATCGACGTGATTGTGTCTCCACTGCAGCTTCCGACGGTAAAGCCAGGATTGCTGTTTAGGGCATTTATGATCTCCCAAAACAAAACTGCAATTATGCAGAACTGCCGGTGAGAGCGAGACTCGGAGTCCAGGCCGATGCAGTGTTAGGGTTGCGTGGATCATTGGGAGTTGCCGTCCTCCGGATGAGACATTCGGCCGAGATCCTGTCTTGCCCGTTCAGGCGAACATGAAGATCCCAAGGCACTACTTGGTGTCCTGGCCGACAAAACCCCAGATAAAATTGATCCTTCGCTGGGTGGCTGTTTGTGGGACGTTGCCGGGCGGAGATTGGCTGCTGCATTCACCTGTAACCAAAACGCTCAGCCGCTAAACTTCACGGTAAAATCCTGGGAGCCGCCTCGAGCCCCGGGATGAGGCGCTGTCTCAAATGCAAAGATTGATGATAATAATGAAATGGAAGCACCAATCCTGGGCCGAGTTTGGTATTTCCTCGTCGTTCCAACGCACAAGTTTCATCCACCGAGTCGGAAACCCAACCATTGCCATTCATTCTCTCGGCCGTGGGTTTGATGGTGGGATTGACCGGGACATGGTGTGTGGGTGTGGGGAGAGGGTGGGCGGGGGGGGTTTCTCTGTCTGATGGTGCTTGTTGGCGGGGATTGAGGGAGAGGGGAGGAGGGAGGGTGGCGGATGGTGAGAGGAACAGGGGGCAGAGGGTTAGGGGTAACCACTTACCATACCGTCGGCTAGTCCTCCACGCCCTAATGATGTACTGAAGGACACCGTCCATCCACACCAGGAACCAGCTGATACAGAATCCCAGCAGCAACCCCAGCATCAGGTCTATTTCCTGCTTGGTGACATTGTCGGTGATGAAATAATTCTCCGAAGAATCGACCACGGACTGATCTCCGTCGTAGGGGATCACGTAGTGGATGTGGTGCCTGGGGGGGGGGTGGGGGTAGGGTGGGGGGTTGCGAAGGGGAAGGAGGGAAAAAGACAACACGACAACAACCACAACAAACCATCATTGATCCGGGAATATTCGAGTATGGGCAGCGAGGTTACGAAACAGCGTTCTAATTAGGGAGAGTGTTGTTGCCATAATACATAATGCAAAATAACCCCCTCCCTCCTCTTCTCTTGCTCTCTCTCTCTCTCTCTCTCTCTCTTTCTCTCTCTCTCTCTCTCATCCTTTCCCTCCCTCCCTCCTTCTGCCCCTTACATCCACCCCTCTCCCCCACCACCCCCCCCCCCTCCCCCATCCATCCACCCCCTCAATCTCCCAAACTAAGGTGATTGATTGCATTCAGGGGTGTGAGGATTATCACTACAGTATATATATATATACACACACACACATATATATATATATTTGTAAATAAGGGAGAGAGAGAGAGAGATAGAGGCTGAGCTTGAGAAACCCTCCCAGCTTTAGGTACAGTCTAAATGAAATGACAGTGAATGCATAGATAGATAGATAGATAGATAGATAGATAGATAGATAGATAGATATAGATAATTATATATTATATTATTATTATTATTTTTTTTTCCAGTTACCTTCCACAGTTGCAATGACACACTCGATCTTCCCCTCGTAAATGCGGCAGGATGTAATTGTGAAACCGATCCAAAAGAGCATTCATGTCTACTAAACAAGCTATAGCCTAAAAACACAGGCGACAAGACATCCAGGTAAAGGGATGGCTGATGGTGTGGATGGAGCACAACATGACTTGAAAGGTTTGCTCTTTAGCTCCCTATTTTTTTTTTGCTCTCTCTCTTTCTTTCTTTCTTTCTCTCTCTCTCTCTCCAAAAAAAAAGGGGGAAGAGAGAGAGAGAGAGAGAGAGGGGGGGGGGGGGTGGGGGGGGAGAGGGAGGGGGAGAGGGGGGAGAGGGAGGGATGGGGATGGGGATGGGGATGGGGGAGCAGAGTTTTTTTAAAAATCTATATCCTTTTTTTTTGCAATAATAATAATAATAACAATAATAATTGCTTATGGCATAGGCACTTTGGAGGAAGAGGTGGTGGGGGGTGGGGTGGGGGTGGGGGGTGGGGTGGGGGTGCAATGCAAGGGGTGATTTCTTTTTTTACTGCATTACTACAGAGGGAGGAGGGAGAGAGGAAAGGATGGAGAGAGACAGAGAGGAGAGAGAGAGAGAGAAGGGGGTTGGGTTGGGGGGGTAAGGGAAGGGGGGGGGGGAGAGAGGAGGGTTAAGGGGAGGTGGTGGGGTGGGGTAAGGGGGGGAGGGGGGGGATTAAAAAGGAAAGCGATCAGATCGCACTGGTTTCTTACCATCACGATCGAGGTACCCAGGAACATAAAAATCATGGTGTTAGCGGTGATGTGCATGAATCCCAAACAGAATGTATACCCCCCTCCTCCTCCCTCTCCTCCTCCTCCCCCCTTTCTCTCTCTCTCTCTCTCTCCCCCTCCCTCTCTCCCTCTCTCTCCCCCTCCCTCCTGGTCAATATTTCAGGCTAAAACACACACACACACACACAAAAAAAAAAGGGTGTAGATTTCTGTCCCTAAGTGGGTGGTTGGGATGGAGCTATTTGCTGGAGGGATAGATATATAGGGGGTCCCCCCTCTCTCTCTCTCTCTCTCTATCTATCTCTCCCCCACCCCCCAAATCTAGTAACCCCCTTTTCTGGGGCAGCCCATCCCTGGAATAAACCGAATAAAATCCTTTCCTATCCTCTCTCTCTCCCTCCCCCTCCTCCTCCTCTCTCTCTCCCTCCCTCTCTCTCTCTCTCTCTCCTCCCTTTAAATCCCTTCCCTGTATCACCAGCCTCTTGGCTCTTGTCAGGTGCGACACATTTTGGTCGTTGCTGCAATAGGTGATCGATCCACATCAGCGACGATCAATAATTCAGAGGCTGATGGGTGGGGGTGTGGGTGTGGGTGGGTGTGAAATCACAGCCAGTGGAACCCCCCCCTCCCCTCCCACCCCAACACCATCACCATCACCACCTCCACCACTCTCTCCCTCTCCACACACAGGATCTCTCAGCATCAGCTCTCCTTCTCATGAAGATAAAAAGCAGCTGTTTTTTTTTTGCTACTCCCCCCCCCCACCCCACCCCCCCGACAAAAAAAAAGCTGTGTTTGTGTGTGTGTGTGTGTGTGAGAGAGAGAGAGTGTGTGTGTGCTCTCCTGGTGACATTGCAGCTCGATTGGTATTCCACACATATATACACTCCACACACCCCCCCCCCACCACACACACACACACACTCCCAAAATCAGGCTGTGTGCTGTGCTGTGCCAGGACAGGACAGGAGGGGGTTGGAGGTTCCCCCCCCCCCCCAACCCCCACCCCAACCACCACCCCTCAACCCCACCCGAAAGCCTTTTCGCAAAACCCGAGCTCTCCGGCATTTCGGGGTTCGTCTTGCGCAGCACCCCATCACGTCCTCGAGACGTCTCAAAGCGCCTCGTGGTAAAAGGCAATTCAGTGCACACAGCAGCGTCCCCCCCCCACCTCCCCCCGACTCCTAAAGAGCCGTTGATCAAGCCAGTGACTCCCTTCCCTCTTCGATCCCAACGCCGCGGGATCTTTAACGTCCAACCTGGATAGGTAGACGGGTCATCCTTCGGAGGACGGCACCTCCGAAAATGCAACCCCCCCACCGGTTCGCTTTGTAAGGAAGCGGAGGCAAATACCTCTGGGGGGGTGGGGGGCAAAGGGTGGTAGAGAAGGAGGGTGAGAGAGAGGGGAAGAGGGGATAGAGGGGGGAAGAAGGAGGAGGGGGAGAGAGGGGGGAAAAGAAGACGAGAGAAATGAAACGAAATGCAACAGTTTTGCTCTTCTGCAAAGACTTTTAATGAGTAAATTTCCATCGATTTCCCCCCTTCCCCCACCCCCACCCCCGCCCGCCCCTCAACTTACATTTGCGGGTCCGCGCAGGAACAACAAGCTCCTGTGCCACCCATCCCTCTCGTTATAAACACTCATTCCTCTTCGTATAGTTTTAACCCGAAACAGAAAAAAAAAAAGGCCCACCACGCAACACCTTAAACTGAAGCGCTTTGCAGTATTTGCCCCCCCCCAACCCCCGCAATCCCACCCCACCCCACCCCACACTCTCTCTCTCTCTTCTTAAATCAGTGGCGAATTCAAACTTAAATTTTCTATAATTAAATTATGTACAGGTCGGAAAGTATTAAGGAGCTGACAGGTTTGCAAGCCACCCATCTGTCTGTCTGTCTGTCTGTCCATTTCCCCCGCTCCCCAAGCTTAATAGAAACAGACTGTGTGCAGAAAGGTTCTCGTGCTTTTCTCTTCTAATTCCTGGATTAACTCATCTATTTCGTTCTCCATATCCTCCGTACGTTGTATCTAAACGGAGGAAGAAAAAAAAGAAAGACAATGATTTTGTGAGAGAAAAAAAAAGGAAAATTCAAATTGCAAATGTTCAGCGAAGGCCGGGCACAGGTATGTTGGGCCGAATGGCCTCCTTCTGTGCTGTAGGATTCTATGAAATTCAGGGGGGGCGGGGGGGGGGGGGAGATGGAGGGTACATTTTACCCCAGTGACCAGGGTAAAATGGTACATAAAAGGTGTCACCAAAGTGCGGAGGTTTTAAATCGGTCACTCACTTCACGGCTGTTTGTGCGACATTGCTGTGCGCAAACTGGCTGCTGCTTTCACCCACAGAGTACAGTTACTACACTTTACAGTGAAATCCCCGTCAAGCGCTGTGAGGCGGGGTTCCCGACAGGAAAGGCGCGGTTAGCAAATGTCAGGATTATTAATTTGTTTTGCTCCCCCTCGAGACGTGGCGTCAGAAACTTCACGCCGCCTTCTCCTGGCCTGGAAATGTTCTCCTGGGCGAACGGGCTACAATAGACTTGTCAGACCCCAGGGCAAGGTGGCAACTGGATGCAGTGATTGGCTTCAGCCTCCCGTGGATTGGGAGCCAGGATTCGGTCACTGAAAAATGTCTCCAGTGATGCTGCTGGAAAACAACACGCGTGTGGACATGTGGACAGGAACGGGCTTGACCACAGCACCTTCTACGGGTAGATCCTGGCAAAGCTCTGCTCAGGACAGGTTGGTTGGGGTAGATTTCGTGCTGGCCATCAGTAATTAGCCGTCACAAGCTGTAGTTTGGTCTCCCAGTACGTATTATTAGCCAAATCCCAGTACGTATTAGTCGCAGGTTGGCAAGAGCCAAGGGTTGGGGGAGGCCTGTGTGTACGCAGGGATAACTGCCGGAGTCTAACCCGCTAAAGTGCAGTGGCCCTTACCCCCTCCACCAGCAGGAACCTTAAGAATCACTGCCACAGCGGAGGAGAGTAGCTTAGTAGTAAGGTATTTGCTGTTTGGACAGCAAAGTGGACAAGGGATTGGGGGCCTAAGTGGGGGCTAGATTTATGAGGCTGTGCCGGAGTGTGGTCCTGACTGTGGCAGTGGCCACAATCAGGAAAGTTGGCGAATTGTCTGTAAAATGCTGAACAGAGACGTTAAACCGAGGTTCTCAACCAGGTGACCGAGTGCGGGTCCATTCCAATACCCATCTCCGGGATGGCCCTGTGTAGACGGACTTCTCAGCTGGGGTTCAGGAGACCCTTTAAGCAACGGCGATGGTTGCTGCGTGCGTCAAGACACCCGGTGGACCCCACCCCACTACCACCCCCCCGCAAAAAGTAGAGGGAGTTCCAGTGACTTTCGGCACCATGGTGATGTTACGCGTTGAGCAATGCCGTCAGGAGAGAAACCGCCCGATATTCCGACAGATCTTCCTCCCTCTATGTAGCAGCGATCGCGGCTGCCACCTCTTAAGCCACCCAACACCGCAACACTTCCACACAAGTGACGGACGGTCAGTTGCGTCAAGTCAAAAGCCCAGACTCTCATTTTTTTATATAAACCCCCCACACCACAAAAGTCCTGAACCAGAGGTAAAAGCAAAAGGTGTGTTCAGTGTAATTATTGTCAAGTGCTTTGAGATGCTCACTCTAAGTACAAGTCACTATATATGCAAGAGGTTTATTTGTAATAGGGACAGCTACTGTATATGGGAAATGCAATGGGAACAGGACAGTTGTTTGAAGCCTTGCCTACGTTGGCACCAGTGACAGTCTAATGCTCATAAGCATAGACTCTAACCAGGTTAAGTGAAACCTTCAGGAACAGGCCTAGAAAGCTTTTAATTAAACGTTATTAACAAGTGATGTACATCATCTATATTGATAGGGAATTGCAATGAACAGGACACATTAAAGACAAGAGTAGCTCACAGCCAATCCCACTTAATGGGAATTGAAAGATCATCCAGAGTATTATCTAATGAGAAAGAAAACTCAGGAGTCCAGTCCTGGTAAAGGACTGCTCCCAGGTCAGATCACAGCGTAATGCCTAGCGAAAGGTATTGATCAGATTAAAATCCAGTGAGTTATTTTACACTAATAATATTTTACGTTCTGGGACCCTACCTTTCATGAGGGGCATTATGTAAATTCATGTTGTTGTTGCAATGGATTTTTTNCCCCCGCTAAAAATAAAGTAATAATTCTCGCAATTGACGTCTCAAAGCGCTTCACAGGATACACTGTAAAGTGGAGTGACTGTGTATTTTGTGGGCCAAATAAAGCATGAACAGGACATCAACTATCGCAGTGTGAACCTGTTCAAGCGTCAGTCACCGAGCAAATTGCTGGCCACACAAGGCAGCGCCCACTGCAGCTTGACAGACCGATGCCCCTGAAGAGGTAAAGCTTTGGAGTTTATCTGTATAGGAACCTGTGATGATATAATGACATTGGTGCTGGGACATTTCATGCTAATCCACCCGTTCACACTTGGTCCCTCTACTCAGTTTCTCCCACTAGCCACACACACACACACACACATACACACACACACACACAAAAGATCTCTCTGTGTCTTTATATATAAATGTGCGGCACTTACACATTGGCACAGTTCACAAATGAGAAAAGCTCCAAGTGTGGCTTCTTCATGATTATCCTGAATGTCCACATTTATGACATGCACTGGCTGGAATGTCTCCTGTTCTCTCGAGTTTAGATCTGGGTAAATCACAAGAAGGGGAAGGCATGAAAATAATATCTGGGGGATAACAGTATATAGTTTGGGACACGACATGTTAAGCGACTGCCGGGATGGTGGAAGGCGAACTAGATGGACCTTGGTCTTCTTTCGCCCAGCAAATTCTTATCTTCTTATATGTTCTTACGTATGAGCCAACAGCTGTTGGCATTTAACAAGTCGTCTGAACAAATAAACTGGAGAGAAATTGATGCGAGGGTTTACCTTCGAGCACTTGATCGTAAACCCGCTCTTCACAGGTTACGATCAGGTCAAACTGATCTTTACACGTCTGGAAACGCTCCGGTCGAGATTTTATCCGCTTGTTTCTATCCAACATGTGAAGGATCCCGTTCTGTGTATATCTGTGTATGCTGTGGTCAAGGAACTCAAGGCACAATACATGCAAATGTAACAAGAATCCTTTATATATAGCTCCAGGTCACATCGGCAAAAACATCTCAAAGAAATTCACAGGATTTACTGTAGAACAGTGGTCATCAAACTTTATAATAATAATCCTTGCATTTGATTTTGCACCTTATCACGCTGTTGAGACATCTCAAAGCACTTGACAGAATATACTTTAAAGTGTGTATTTGTGGGCGAAACCCGGCAGCACAATTGCGCACAACAGTGTCCCTCAAACAATCATGGACTGAGCGACCAATTTTTTTTTGGAGGAATTATTATTCTGGAAAACGATCCGCCAATCGACTAACATCCGGGTTCCTACTTACTGTTAGGTCCCAACCTTTATGGTCGGCCGACAAGTCAATTATTCTTTATTGTATTGCTCTTCATTTATGGCTTTGCCTCGGTAGCTACTGGAACCTTGAGATGGACTGGCCTGTTGGTTTAACCAGCCAATTCTTAAAGCTCCGAGTCATCGATCGCAATCGGTCGGTTGGAAACCATGCTGTGAAGTGTATTGATTGTGTATTTTGTAGGCAAACAATTTGTGAGCAGCAATGTCCCACAAACAGCCATGACGTGAATTTTATCTGGAGCTTTGTTGGGCAGGACACCAGGAGAAACTTTCTTTCAAATGGTACCAGCAGATCTTTAACGTCCATCTGAACAGGTCACCCGATGAGACCTCAGTTTGATGTCTCAAAGGACAGCACCTCTGACCTAGTACTGCATTGGAGCATCAGTGTCTTGTCTGACTACGAAATCAATGTCTCGACAAGGGGTTTGAACCCACAAACTTCTGACTCAGAGGCAAGAGGAAGAACACTACCTAACTGAGCAAAGATAACATCTTGGAAAAGATGTGGGGGGAAGGGGTTAAAATCAGTGTTATGACCTCCTTATTTTTCTTAAGTATCAAATAATAATCCTTGCCTTTGCTGCAGTGCCTTTCATGTCAGGAGAACACCTCAAAGCTCTGTAATTGTGGGCGAGGATTTTATTTCCCAGGAAATAAACAGATAAAATCTGTTTCCGATGAAGCCTCCCTAAAACAGCAATGTCACGGCCAGAGGTGGAGACGTGTAGGAGCTCGTTGCTTTTGCTGTGCGAAGGGTTCTCTAATAAAATGGTCTCCTGTGAGATAAATTATCCTGAGCATTTGGCCATATAAACCGGCATATCACAATGCACTTAGAATAATTAACTAACAATGAACATCATCTTCGCTGTTAACATGACAAACACTTGAGACCACATCATGATAGAACATCTCAATACCGACTCGATTTCTCTGCCATCGCTGCACAGGGCCTGAGTACCAGAAAAGAGGATTCCGTTTAAGTAAAACACTGAAATTGTACTAAACGAGGTTTAGGTGAAATAAAAACAGATGTCGCTGGGAACACTCGGAAGGTCAGGCAGCATCTGTGGATGGAGGGAAGTGAGAATCTTAATTCTGCCACGGGAGGACCGTTGGGTGAGTATTCTGAAAGGGTGAGATCAAATGAGCCAAAAAGCCTTCATCTATCTGTACCTGGTTAGAAATGACTCCATAGGAATGAAGTTAAGATCAGGTTCTTTCTCCATCAGGTGCATGTTATTAAAGTTTGGCGTTAATAAGCAACACGTGAAAATGTTTTCCCTAATTACTGGCATTAACACTGACTACTAGGGAAATAGCTGATAGGAAGGACAATTTTTTTGTGTTCTGTTGTGCTGAATGTTGCGAACTGAAGGCAAATTCTAAAGAACCAATGCTGTTAATATTCATATTAACATGATATCATATTAATATAATAATCCTTCAAAAAAACAATAATAATTTGGTCATTCAATCCACGGCTGTTTGTGGGGACGCTGCTGTGTGCAATTGGCTGCTGCGTTTCGCCCACAAATATACAGTCAATTCACTTTACAGTGTATTCTGTGAAGCGCTTTGGGACACCGAGAAGAAGTGAAAAGCGCTGTATCAAATGCAAGGGTTATTATTATTATATTATTCACTGGGATGGAAAGTTATTGAAAATTGAATTCAGGCTGAATTACCTACAAAATAATAATTTTGGTTTACAGTACAGCCCATAAAGCACTTTGAGATGTCCTCCTGACGTGAAAGGCGCAATATCAAATGTAAGGATTATTACTGAAATGTGAGTTTTAGTGAAAGGAGGTTGTGGTAATAAACTGTAACAGGGCTCTCACTCCTTCCTGTTCCCTTAAACCTGATAGGACCTAAATTACACATTGGGTCACCATTCACATAATCTCTCAAGAGATGGGGACAAAGGGGCCACGAGTTGTAGAAGTCACAGACTACATACAGCCTGAGATGTTTGTGCGGAACAAAACAGACACCAATTCAAAATGCGGTCATAATGAATGCACCCAAAAAATATTCTGCTGAGAGCTCAGAAACATTTATTATAGTAAACAGTACAGGCTTCTGCAGACTCTTCGCACTTTTGATGAGATTAATTTCATGCCTATTGCTTGGTTTTCTGAGTATTGTAATCGTATGTTTTTTGTTCTGCCGGATAGAATTAATTTGTGAAATGCACAGAACCCCAGTACATAAGTATCACTACTCCTTCCTTTCCATTTAAGAGAGATTTTGATGAGTGCAATACAGGTCGATCCCAGTACAGTGAACCGTGTCAATGTTCTCCTTATCACCAAAACGCAGCCATGATTAAAGGTCTAATCAATTCACACTTCAAACCATTTTTGCTACTTTCAAAGTGTTCATTTGAATTTATCTAATACGCAAGAGACAGAAGTGAGAGAAATCCTTCTGAGTATGCATTGACAGGGATCGAGTTGCAAGTTCACTTTGCTGGTATTATACAGTTGACAACACTGGGCTTAGAGTGACAATTTCCTCAGGAAAGCACTGAGCGAAACAAAGGTGACCCAATTTTCCATTGCAGTACCCACCCCTAAACCAAGGTAGAGCAGGGGAAACACGAGTAGAGTAGATCGCTCCAGTACAGATATAATAGGTTAAGTGGCCTAATCTGTAAATGTAGCGTCTATGATTCAAGCTATCAAAACTACCTCTGCACTGCTGTGAAATTAAGTGAAAAGGGATCCAAATGGTAAATGGCCAATAAGGTATGGTACTAAGCCAAAGTGAAGTTCAAGGAGCTGTAATTGGAACCAATATCTTGGCAGTAAGGGAGGGAAGAGAAATGGAAAGGTTTGCTGTGACACATCACTTCCCATCAATCTCTACTGGACTTTGGTGTCTTCTTTGGCCATGCAACTGGTCAGCATTGAGCAGCCAAGCTCCAAATATCAACACTGGCTCCGTGGGCCAAGGAGCAGAGGTGTCTGTCGATGTCTATCACTGCATAAAGCTGTAGAATATCTGCAGCACGGGAAACATCATCTGTGCAGATGTATCTTGTTCCACAAGGGCTCAGTACCTCAGCTACGTATTTATGCTTAATGCACAAGACAAAGCAATGGATTTTAAGCACAGACTAGAGGAGGGCTGTCTATTATTACTCTCACATATATTTGCCAGTGGCAGTCACCACATAGTGATAGACCGAAGAGCAATGACACTGTCCAGCTAACTGACCAGAGTCAATATGGGATCTTGCAGGTCTGCAGGGTTCACATACTCACCTCTGGGTTGGAAAGCTTGTGGGTTCAAGCTCCACATTGGGTTCAGTCCAGGCTGACAGTCCAGTACAGTACTAGAGGAAGTGCTGTATTGTCAGAGGTGCCAGCTTTCAGGAGAGATGTTAAACCTGAGATCCAGTTTGCCTGTTCAGGTGGACATAAAAGATTCCGTGACCCTATTTGAAAGAGAGAAGGGAGTTTCTCCTAGCGTCTTGGCAGGCAATCCTCCAGATAAGTCAGTCATTTAATTTGTGTCTGTTTGCAAACTTGCTGCGTGCAAAATGGCTATTGGGTTTGCCTTCAAAATCATAGTCACTAAACTCAACAGTAATTACTGTAAAGTGCTTTGAGGTGATAAGGAGCTATAAAAAAAAATCAAGTGCTTTCTCAAGCATTCATAGCTAGCTTGGTTCCCCTGGTAGTTAGTGATGGACACTGAGCTGTCTTCTGGTATTATAATGTGATAATCCTTGCATTTGATAAGAGTCTCATCACATAGTTGAACATCTCAAAGCGCTCCAGGATTTACTGTAAAGTTCGTGACTATTTGCAGGCAAACTCAACAGCCAATTATCCTAGCATATCCTTATTATTTCAGTTCCTCGACTTAAATTTCCTTGAGTTTTTACTTCTTGATTACCTCAGGGCTTATCCAAAGTACACTTTCCCTTCAAATTCATTTATTTTAGTCTTGATGTTTTGCTATCCAGCCTTACTATAGTCAAGAGCTAATTGTTGGCCAATGAGTCTTATGGTGGTGTATTTTAGGAAAGACATTTGGTTGCAGTCAGACCTTTAATTCAGTCAGTGATCTTTGGCACGCAACTACTTCCACAACGTATCCTTGTGAGGTTCAACAGCAAAAAAAAAATAGTGCCCACTTGGCCTCGCATGCACTCTAAATAACTTCTGAACTGTACCCGTACATGCCAAGATAATAGTTCACAGTTGAGCAGGTTCATCTTTGTATCCAGCTTCTTAATAGTCCTGATGGAGCGAACGTATTTTAAAAAGCTGCTTCAACCAGAACAGCTGTTCCAGAGAAATGGTTAGCAAAAGATCTTCCTTCATGGCTACGATTCCTCCAGAGACCGGGCTTGTTATCCCAGCCTAAAGAGACTTCTGCAGAACAGACCAGACAGTCTAGGTTGAAAACAGAAAGCTTCAGATTGCAGGCTATACAAGGAGCAGCCCATCATGATCTCCATATATATTTATACCCACAGGGTGACCAAAATGTCATGGTGTTACCCTATTATCTAAAAAAAATTATAATTTCTTACAGACTTATTGGACATTGTAATGGTATCACAACTTTTTAGTC